AAACTAGTAAATCTATTACATCTATAAGAAGGGATTTTTCTCCCCTGTATTGTCAACAATTGTTAATTAGCTTTATTCATAGTAAGCAAATAATCCGGGAGAAAAGAGCAAATTCCCCGAAGAATAGCCATTTGAAGATTAGCTGTTCATGTCATTTCTTGTTTTATTAACACATCCAATGCCATATCTGACAACAGGGCCCAGAGATCCATCTGCAGTTTTATTCCTTCATTATGCCTGCTTAAAATTGTTTTATTTTCATACTAGTTTACTATTGACTTAGCAGTCATAATATCTACATAGTTAGTAACATGTGAGACTGCTTGGAGCACAGGTTCACACTAATACCTACTAAGTGTGTTTAGCCCAAATAATTCATTTAAACCTGAGAAAGGACTGAAAGATAACATTGTATAGGCATTACTGAAGAGCTAGGTAACACTGTCATGAAGTTTAAGTTAGAAAAACATAACTATCTCCAACAAGATTATTTTTAAGTTCAGGTCACATGGGATTTAGAGGCTTGATGTATCTAATGTTTCATGCAAGCACCAGTATAGAAGATCAAACCAAACCAAAACAAACCCTTTTGAAATGGAGCTATAGGAGTTAGTTTCATCTACAGCTTTCCAGGCATAGCCTTACTTGATCTTTCTGCTATCAGATTTTTGGACATTATACAACACGTGTTGACATATTGTTAACAGTGAGATATAATTACAATGAGTTTTGTGAAGTATGTGGTTTTGAAACTGGAAAGTGTAAAGACAGTAATTGTTAACAAATAGAAGTTTGTAATATTAATTAACCTTACACTACAGTCTGTCTTTGCCTTGGATAACTGTACAAAGGCTGGAATTAGAAGCAGCAAAAAGGAGGGCAACATAAGGAGACCTTAACATGCTACATCTGCTGGACAACTTAATTAGAACAAAAAGGAAATTGTTTGAGACAGTACCAAGTATGAAGCCCAGTAGAAGTTCCTGAAATAGCTCTACTACATCTTACTAATTGCTCTTAGTTGAACTTGGCTATAAATTGAAGGGAAAAAACAGATAAAAGGCTCAAATTAACCTGGTGTGAAGGATGCCTTGGCAGATTTGTTGTATTATAATAAAGAAGATGATGAAGAAAATTAAAAACCAGAGAAAAGAGGGCTTGAGTTTGATTTTCTCATGCATTTCATCTGGAAGAGAGTTCTTGACCAATGATAGGTCAGTACAGGCTCATAATAACACTTTTTTGATAATGTTCCCACACAGGAGCTGCAGGTGATCATATACAGAAGATGGGAATTCTTTATTTACCAGCATTTGTTGATTATGCTTATTCCATTGCATTTCAATGCTTTCCCCTTTCTTTGCCACTGGAAAGCCATGTGTTCTTTAGCTAATTAGTAAGGTATTGTTAACAGACAAAGACAGTGTAACGTCAACTTGCATATAGCATACCTAAAAATATCCTCTAGCAATAAAAGGTATTTTCTTTTTTCTTTGTATTCCTTTCTTTTTGTATTTCACTTCCAGTAATTGCAAAACTTTTTTATAATTGAAGAAACAAGATTTTAAGTCTACACAGACACAGAATAGTTTGATGTTTTCATACCAGATCTTAATAAATGAGATATTTGAATAAATATGTGACCTACTTCAAACAGCAGCTTTGCTAATGTCACATAAAGGAACATTCCTGCAGCAGAATAAATTTGGACTGTATCTAGGAATGCAATGTAGCCAGGCATTTTAGACCAGACCTCTGAACCAAGTTTCTGATACTTCCTAACAGCCACAGTAATATGCTGAATATTTTTATTCTCTCAAAAGAGAAAGATAAACCTGCAAGTATATCTTTAAATGTAGGGCTGCTTTTGCTTCAGGCTTGTGAGACAAAACAACTTGATCAGATATTTACTTTAAATAAAGGTCTGAAGTCACTTCTAGAAGAAACTTAAGGTGTGACTCATATTACTTTTTTGTTGTAGAAGAGAAAAAAAAAATAGTCCACTTATTAAGGACTGAATTTTTCAATTGTACATTCTGGATGGTTCTAAGGAACAATGTAGCCTTCTTTGAGTGAAATAATGTTACTCATAGTCAGAAAACAAGACATGTAAAAAGAGTGAGAGTTACATTAAGGTCCTACAGTGGAGACAGACTTTGTAACGAAGAGAAAAAATCCATAAATACGTTTAGGTACCATGAGATGAGAAAAAAAACCCTGTATGGCATACAGAATTTACTGAAAACAAAGATTTTCATGGAGTGAAAATAAAGATTGCAATGAGATTACCTACAGATAACTGCTGACATTTGTGCTGCAAACATGCATCTGAGCACAGATCTATTTTCTGATCTGAAACAGAAGAAGAATATCTGCAGAACTGTCTTTTTAATTTCACAGCCCAATTATACTCAGTACAAGACGACATAATGGAGTTAATATGGGTTAGGAAAGATCCATTATTCTGACTGATAAAGCAGAAATGAAAAATAAAATAATCCAGAGTGACAATTTCAGCTGCGAGTGTTGATTGTGCCAAGTTGATGTTACCAAGATGGTCATGATTTTGCTGCCTTCAGTTTTTAAGATTTACAGTTGCAAAAGAACTTCAGGGATGTATATAAAGAGGCACAGAGCTAGAGTAAAGAGACATCTCCCTGAAAGCCCAGACTGCCCTCTTCTGGAGTGAGTGATCTTGCACATCCAGTGGTTGCTCAACAAAGTTATATGAGGAACATCACACAAACAAAACCCTCACCTGATTATAAGGTGTTTAATTTTTCATTTATGTTGTCATACACCTAATAAACATGTATTCAGATGATCAAGAAAATGACTAGCATCTTGCCATGACAGTGTTAGATACAGTAACGACTTTCCTGTGCAATGGAGTGGACTCACTTTTAGTACAGAAACTTTAGTGATGGTAGCTGACATTATTTGGATCCACTGATGAACTTAAGGTGAAATGCAATGCTATAAAAGCATGATCATTCACTCTGAATTCAAGAACATTTCTAAGAAGACAACATTCTTGTTGCAAATACAGCTGTGAAAACAGGCCACACCAAAGCTGCATTCTGTCTGCCCTATGCATACTGGAGTGAGAAAAGTTTCCATCAACTTGTCACAGGTTCTTCCATCAGTTAAAGTTCAAAAAAAATACCAGGATCTTTATCCTTGCATTTTAGTTGCAGGCAACCTATATTAAGGTATCTTCTGCCATCCATGAAGGCAACACACACAGTTTTGTTTACACTTATGAGGCCATCTGATTCCAAAGCTAAAGCACATACTTACCATTGTATAGGGTTCTCCAGCTAATTAATCAGAAAATGCTGTCATATGCTGTCGTTAGGATAACATAGTGCTGTGGCAGATTTCAGTGGTTTTCTACTTGATAGAAACACATTTCTTGAGGAGTGGAACCCCTATTTCAAATCAGGGGATGCAGGGAATTAGCAAACACCAACAGTAAAACTGCTATCCCTAAATATAAAAAGGGGTTTTCTCTAATCCACCAAAAGTTGCAAGAGATTCATTCTTCTTTGGTAGCAGACTATTGAGGTAGAGGTAAAATAATTAAGATTTTAAAATTAGAATAATTATTTTGCTGTATTCATCTCCTGCTTTCATCTGAATAATAATGAACCATTGCAAGTTTCCTGAAGAAAACATAAAAATCACTGAAATTGAGTAGGGAGTAGGGAAACACTAATGCCTTATGTAGATGGCAGTTCCTGATTTGGAAATCCTTTAAAAAGCATTTTGATTATTTTAAAGAAGGCAACAGAAAACTACTAGCAGCAGTTACTATGAAAATGGGTTCTTTCTGTATATTGTTTCTTTCTGGTCAGTCAGAAGACCCTTGGTGCCCGATAATCATGAAAAAATAATTTTTTGATGATGATGCTTTTTAAAAAAACATGAGACATAAATGCCCAAAGGTATAATGCAGAAGAAAACGCTCAAATGCACACAAATACTCAATTATTATTGAACTAAATGTTCCTTTTAAGGTGCAGACCTTCCATGAATTTTCAGAACAAGCTGGCAATTCAGAGGATTATAATCAAGACATATGATGAATTGTAATTGTTGTCACTGTAGATCTGGAAAAGGAACGGGGAACCTTTCAGTGCAGCAACAGCTAGCTAAAGCAGAAAAAAAGCTCTAGCAGAACACTGCTTCTGCTACTCCTTGCTGACCATTATTATTCAAGGTTCAGCATTTAACAATCTAGGTAAGAGACAAACCTCAGAGACTTTTCCAAGAGAGACAATTTTGATCTGTTCTTCACATTAGTACTCTTTGTCTCTTACAGAATTACAGTGCATTATCTATATGTTGTTTTTTTAATTCAGACTAAGATTATGTCTAATCTGTGATCCTAAATAATTCTAGGAAACCATTGGGGGGGGGGGGGGGAATCACACTTCTTTTCCTGTAATTATTTCATTTACTGATGGTAAACTAATGATTTATTTATGGTAAACTGTACTCTTGAAAAACTTGTAGAAGATGCCCAGAACTTCAGAATGAGTCATTTTGCCTTTGTTATTTTTTCTTATCTTTCTAGGCAGAGACAAGTGGAAATTCAGCTTCCACTCAATCCATAAATCAAATCATCCACAAATTAGAAATGTACAGTTCTAATAAGCATGAGATTATAGTTCCTATATCAGACCAGTAAAATGCAGTGATTAAGTTACTGAGTGCAGTCCATTGTAAATTGAAGCAAAGAAGATAAAAGTAAAGTAAATCTAGATACTATAAAGAACTTAACCAGTACCATGCAACAGCAGAAATCCGGAGAAGTTCATTATCTAACTCCAATGAACATTCTTTGTTTTCTTATTTTTGCTTTTAAACATCAGGACATATTCAGTATAATTCAATGTATTTCACTACCAAAGACAACAGCAATTCCAGTTTAAACTCACAGACCTATAGTCTTATAGAACTTTGTTAATAGGAAAAGCAAGCTTTTTTTTCTATACCTGGAAGTTCTTTCTCTTCAACGTTGTATTCCAGAGATCCAAAGGAATAATTAGTTGGACTGATTGCAGGAGTAGAAATAAAACTTGTACAGCCAATGGATGAGTTGATTTCAAAATAATTGTGGCTGTGATTCATTCGGTGAAATTCCAAAGAAGATACTATTGATGTGCGTTGTTTGGGCTACAAGAAAAATAGAAATTTGGAGTGAAAAATACAAACTTTTAATATAGTTTTCATTACTTGACATTTAATAAACTTACCTAGGGTTTCTCTCTTTTAGCTGTTTTTATTTGGCTCAAAGCTTATACAAGTAAAAATCATTTCATAGGACAAGTTGCAGTGATGTAGAGATAATTTCCTTCCAAAATTTGGATTAATCTTTATTAGAAAAAATGCATGTCTTCATTCAAATCGATTTAATTCAAAATAAAATAGGGTTTTACAGCCTTGCATATAATAATTGCAATCATCTTTTGATAAGAAAGGGAGCTTTTCACCAGCTGCATTGCTGGATACATCTTGCAAAACAATTAGACTGCTGATGCCTGTATAATGAAATTTACAAAATAATACCAAGCACTCATCACTCGAAAGCAACCCTCTTCTGTTTATTCAGTTTATGTAGGGCTGTATTAAATATTCAAAGACTGAAACGTCTAAAAGCTTAGGGGAAAAGTTTCAGCTTGAAAGATATATGAAAATTAAACTTCATGAGTTTTCACAGAACAGCAAAAAAGTTGATACTAGTCTGTATCAAACATTTACTTTCGAAGTGAACCTCTGCATTGACCCCATTTAATGGCCGCACTCTGGATTGCAAAGTAGCTTCAGAGCATGAGAAACTCATTCCTTTTGGGTGGATTTACATTATAAAGTACATTAAAGGCTTGTACAAAACATGCTCCAACTCCTTATGGCCTTTTGACCATATGACCAAGCTAAGGCTAGCCCAAATTAAAGTCAATAAGATCTATGCGGTGTGATCATCAGGTCAGCAACAACTTTTTTGTTACACATATCTGTTCCCATTGCACTGCACTACTTATCAATATAGACATAACCTTAGCGCTCCATGTTATGGACTATAAGCCAAAGACCACTGATGGTTTGCAATGTCATGCTAAATAGTCTGTTGCGGCACTCATCTGGCTCCATCCTCAAAATATCACCTGAAACATTAAATGCCTCCTCCAAAAGAGAGGAGGCCCTGCATTCAGGTGTTCAGCTGTCTACATATTTCTTTCACAACAGTAAAAAACATCTCAGGTACTGCTGCCTTAGATAACTAAAGCTGGGAAAAGTAAATTGAAAAAGAGAGCAAAGTGCGCTTTCACCGTTCTTGTTTTAGCATGTCAGGCTTAACAGGTCAGAAAATTTGTGAAGGTCAAGAATTTGCTACTTATTAGTGTCAAGACCAAATTATTGCTCTAGGAGCAATAAGATCTTCCTTGAACCATAAAGGTATTCACCATCCCTTACTTAGAACTATTTGTTAAAATACAATCTATCCCAGTGGAGTAATTTTCAATTTTGTTGTGGTCTATTTCATTTTTAGGTTATAAGTCCTTCAATGTTTATATTACAAATACAGAATCAGACTGTTTTCACTAAAAAAAAAAAAAAAAAAAAAAAATCACTCTTTCTATTGGAATGTCAGACAAAAAAATTAAATAGAATTAGGTTTGTATAATGTTAATTGTTTGTTACAGTTGTGTTGGGCACCATGTGAATTAACTGTGTCCTGTTAAAACTGAGAAAAATTGCAAAGGGTAAATTTGGGCATTCATCTGGAACTTATCTATGGTCTGCTGAGGGGATTTACTTTCTTTAATAATCAAAAACAGTTTCTCCTTTGAAAGGCTGACTCCTAGGGCTACTTATTTCATGGGAGAGTTCAATGAACAGGGACAGACTCCAACATCAAACAGTCTGGTTAAAAGTAATTGTTTGGGACCTGAGCCAAAATAAGTCTCCGATCAGACCAAAAATATTCATGTGTATTAATTAAACCTAAACTTTACACATTTGCTATACAACAAATTCATCAATGACCTAATTACTTCTAAAACCGAAAAAGATCTCCATTCATTTAGAAACATGTCCTTGGCCCTTTCCCAAGCAATGGTGTCTTTGTGGTTTTGCAAGACTTCAGCTCCTGAGTTGAAAAGGTGATGCTTCGAGTAACATGATATGCAGGATCTCTGGTTATTCTTAAGCTGAGACAGTTCCTACCTAAATGGGCAGCTGGGATGGTCCAGCTCTGTCTTCCCAAGCAGCTTCTAAAGGAACTGCTCTGGCCTTTGTCCATTCAGGTCTCTGGCCACTGTATGCCCCTTTCTTGGCATCAGAATAGCAGCATCTGACACATCATAAGGCCTTTTACTAACTTAAGGCTGATGAGCTGTTCCACTGCACCTCAGTGCAATATCACGAACTATTCTAACACTTTCAAGAAAGTTTCACAAAAACCACTTGCAACATCTTGGGGGATGGGGAGTTGGGGAAAGGGGAAACAAACAAACAAAAAAAAATCCATAGTGTTATGAAGCTTCTTTTACAGATCAGTTTAGTTTGAAAATGCTCACAGATTCTAAAAATGTGTCCATCAGTAAACAGCTATGATTTGCTCTGGAGACATAAGTTAGTGATATAAGTCTAGAGTGATTTTCAAAGATGATTATGGAAGCTAGGAACATGTTTTCTGTTTGTTCATGCCAACATGCAACCATCTTCTGACCTGGGTGATACAAAATACCTCCTATATTATTTTGGGTTTTGACATTATTATTATTACTTCAGAGAAACATATCTCAGTTTACTATATCTTTCCAAAGTACAGATTTTGTACAGAACCTCACGCAGCCTCTAGTGCTCTACAGCATAACACTTGCTATATAGGTTGGAGTTAACAAGGTCCATCTGTCAATATGCGCCAATAATTTTTCTACATAATTACACAGGAATCTAGCATCTGAGCTTTTGTAGCTACCTAAAGAAGCCTTCTGCACCTTTCCTGGGCCCTGTAAAATGCTTTATTGTTAAAGTGTGCTAATTGTTCATTAATATATGCTAAAAGAGATGCAGTAAACCAGTTTGTGTTGACTGCATACCTCTGCCTGTGTCTCCCTAAAGTACTGTTTGCACAAAGACCGTAGAAAAAATGGATTTTTTCTACTGTTAGGATTAAATTCCAGATTTAGATAACTAAATTTAAAGCATAGTTATTTACATCTATACTGGGTATCTAAGCTTCCATTACAGTGAACTGAGATTTAGTCAATATAATCAATAGAGTCCAGAGAACAATTCACCTTGCCCTAGTCACCTTGGTTTTAGTTCACTTAGATACATGTATCTACCATCACTGGAGATTCCCTGGGGCATCCTACCTGACCTCCATCTGCCATCCAGAAAAGTGCAGTTCTCTCCTATGAGAGGAGACAACTATAGGGCTTATAAAGCCCTGTAGGCCCTATATCATATCTGACAGCCTTACGTGCATGTCAAAGACACCATCATGGCACCTCAAATGATATTAGGTACAACTTTTTAGGCTAATGAATTAAATCCTACCTACATTTCTCCTGAGCAAAATGGAAGACTAGATACCCAAATCTGACAGAGATTCTTATATAAAGATGAAAGCATAGGTATTTTAGTCCCAGACTGAATCCCACCTCTAGCTCACATGTAGACACTCTGGATACCTTACTTCATTTGTTAGAATCTGGAGTCAAATTCCAGTCTTATTGGCAGAATTTGTAGCCAGCAATTAACAAGTCACTTACTGGAGCCTTGTAACTTGGTTTCCTGCATTGCATGTGCCAAAGCCACTTCTAAATTTCATTTACCAAGATCTCTTGAGATAGACCCTGAATAATTCTAAGATTATTTACTATATGGAATACCATAATCTCCAGGAAATTAAGTCAGGGGTCTAGGTTTTACAGCTGTGGAGATTGTACAAACAAAAAACTCTGTCCCAAAGAGATGATGCTTCCTTCACTATTTGTACCAGAGCCAGTCATTACATGTCTGCCTCATACTGTTCAGAAGATCTGCACACACTTAGATAAGCTTTATGAAATCATAACATACTTATGACAACTTCATCCCAGTATGTATGCTATATAACCACATGAAGATTTGTCCTTAAGGAAATTTTTCTTCATTACATTCATGTATTGAATTTACTTGTTATGTGTAAATCTCTTTAATTACTGATTTTGTTTACTTTAAAATGCTTCTTCATGACCATTATTTCAATTGTCATAATAGTGACCTAGAAAACCCTACACTATCCTAAAACAGCATATAAAATCAGGCTAATGAATAAACCTTATCATCAATACAAAAATAAATCAATAAAAAATCTTCAAAGGTATTGCAATAACAAGATTTAAATAACTTTCAAATCAGGTCTAATAAGAAGAATATTTTCATGTTAAGTCAGTAGTGAACAGATATAATGAAAGACAGCACTTTTAAACCAGGAAAGGCATCAAAATACACACACTGAATTGCCTTCCTATTAAAAAGACAAGTAAGGACTTACTTAATGCTCCCATGAATGGAAGTTGCATGCAAATTCTGTAATGCTACCATGACTCGCATGTAACACTATAGGCACGCAAGAGATCATTTCTCACAACATTTAACACAGGGAGTAGTGCAAAATTTCTTTCTCGATTTAACATAAAAATATTTTTCCAACTTTGAAATAGTCTGCAATACAAGCTTATGACTCTGCCTTCTCTTACCCTCGGGATTTGTGTACATAGCACCATCACAGTCTTCAAAAAATTAATTCTCACAACACTCCTCTGCACTATGGCAGAGCTATTAGCCCCATTTTACAGATACTGTACTAGCATATAGAGCTCTCCCAAGGGACAGATGTGTAGCTTATTAAATCACCGAGAACCAATGAGCCTAAAGGAAATTCTGGAGTGTTCCTGCCACATTCCAGCTGCCCTACATAATATAAAAACTCATTTCAGTTGGTTTATACCATGCAGAAAGTATATGATAGAATAGAGAACTGGACCCACACTCTCAAATTCTAGCTAGCACATAAAATACAGACTTACCAGAGAAAGAAAGAGGCTGTAGCCTCACATACATAAAATAGTAGAAGTGTAGCCAAGGGGCCACATAAATCCCTCATTTTGGTACCTAGC